GAAGTCTCCTCCAGCGGCAAAGCTCGCCCTTGGTTTAACGCTGAGTGTGCTTCTGCGGAAACGCTAAAGCAATCTGCGTACCAGGCTTGGGCTGATGCTCGAGATCGCAAAGCACCGGAAACCCTCCGTCTGAAGAAAGCCTTTAATAAAGCCGCTAGATCCTGCAAAAAAGCGATACGGAAAGCTCGCTTCGGCCATATTAGACGTATTGGGGTCAGGTTAGCTTCATACCCATCAGGGAGTAAAGCATTCTGGTCACTCGCTAAATCGGTCGAAGCGAATTTCTGCAGGTCATCCCTTCCGCCTTTAATGAGAGATGACGGATCGCTGGCTCATACCGCTGAAGAGAAAGCAAATCTTTTTGTTTCTCTTTTTGCTTCCAACTCCCGTCTTGACGCTACTTTGCAAACACCACCTACACTACCTCGATGTGACTCGGAAATGCCCGAAATCACTATCCGTCAAAAAGAGGTGTTGAAAGCTTTACGCAAATTAGACGTCAACAAAGCCAGTGGCCCTGACGGAGTCCCAGCGATTGTCCTGCGGAACTGTGCACCCGAGTTGTCTCCGGTGTTGACTCGCCTGTATCGCCTCTCTATGAGTTCTGGACAAGTCCCGAAATCCTGGAAGCTTGCAAATGTACAGCCTGTACCTAAGAAAGGTAGCCATGCCGACCCATCTAATTATCGACCTATCGCAATCACCTCCATACTCTGTAAGACTATGGAGCGTGTATTGAACAGCCGTCTCCTTGGATACCTCGAAGATAACGATCTCCTCAGTGATCGACAATATGGTTTTCGCCGTGGACGATCTACTGGGGATCTTCTTGCGTACGCCACACATTTATGGAGCGAGGCTGTCGAGAAACGCGGTGAATCGCTTGCCGTGTCTCTCGACATATCAAAGGCCTTTGATAGGGTTTGGCATGATAGCCTGTTAAACAAGCTTCCAGCTTACGGAATTCCTGTTGGCTTTTGCACATGGATAGGCGATTTTCTGAAGGATAGGTCAATCCGTGTAGTTGTAGATGGTTACTCGTCTGCTCCTCATGGTATAAATGCCGGTGTACCTCAGGGATCTGTCCTCTCCGCCACTCTATTCTTGCTGCATATCAACGACCTGCTGCTGATGCCCGGTATCTTTGGGTACGCAGACGACAGCACAGTGGCGGTGAGTTATGTGCCAGACGCCCGAGACAACAGCGAAGAGATCCGGTGTAAGCGAGAGGCGATGGTCACCCGGTTGAACCTGAGTCTGAAAGCTGCTTCCGACTGGGGAGATGCTAACAGGGTCAGGTTTAATGCGGCTAAAACACAGGCGTGTCTTTTCTCATCAAAACGGAGTCCCCTACACCTTACTCCGACTTTCCGAGGTGTATCCGTGCCGATAAGGGACCACCTTGAGCTACTTGGTCTGGACTTATCATCCAACCTCAACTTTGGGCGATACATCGAGTGCTTGGCAAAAACTGCTGCCAGAAAACTAGGCATACTTTTCAAGGTCAGGCGGTACTTCACACCTGAACAGCTTTTAAATCTGTATAAAGCACAAGTTCGATCCTGTATGGAGTACTGCTGCCACCTTTGGGACGGCTCTGGCCAATACCAGTTAGCTGCCTTGGACTCGGTGGAGCGTAAAGCAAAGAGACTTATTAACAATAATCCTCTTGTGGAGTCGAAGCTCCAAAATCTCGATCATCGCAGAAAAGTAGCCTGCTTGTCGGTTTTCTATCGGATACATTTCGGGGAGTGTGCGCAGGAACTTTTCAATTTGGTTCCGCCCTCACCGTTCCTCCTTCGGTCGACTAGAAGGTCCGGAGCACTCCATTCTTATGTCGTTGATATTCCACCTATTCGCACTAAGCGCTTTGCCTCCTCCTTTCTGATGCGTACGGCAAAGGAATGGAATGCTCTACCGGCATCTGTATTTCCCGAAAAGTACAATTTGGGGCTATTCAAGGCTAGAGTGAATAGGCATTTTTTAGGCAAACGCGTCCCATCGTCGGTCACATCGTCGCTTAACATCAGGTGAGATTGTGGCCAAGCGTGTGTCTATTATATATTAAAAAAAAAAAAAATCCCTATGTAACTTTAAGAAGATTGCTGGAGTTCTCGGAAAGTAAGGTAACTGTTGCCGCGTAAATTGATGCAAATGCTTTTATTTGACTCTATATTTCGTTTTCATTCAAACTTTGACTCAAGTGGATTCCAATGACATCTCATTCCCTACGTTTGTACCTCAAAACATAGGGTTGCCGATGGCAGAACGCATTCGAGCTGTCACAGAATTTATGCAAAAAATATAATTTAATCTTTCCAAATGAATTTGTGTCCAAACATTCCCCATTCTAATAATAATAATAATCATACCAATTATCTGATATCAAACTAGGGTGCTAAGATTTAGCACCAGAGTCTAGACACTAATTGCAATTACAGTGCCTCCAACATCTAAAACAGAACCAATTAATATTAACTTCCTTCCTTATACTTAACGATTACCATGCCGGTCTGCCACGCAGAGGTCCTGGGTTCGATTCCCAGGCTAGGAGAAATATTTGTATAATCTACATTTATTTCTCTCATAAGTTTGGGTGTGATTTGTGGTTGTCCATGTGTATGTTCATGGCACCAGCGATACAGGGTTTTCTTCTTCGAGATTAGTCCATCTGTTTGGGAGCTACGATGTCACAAATAGATTTACTAACATACAGAAAGATACAGAGACGAAGGCTCCAAATTTATACCTTCTCTAGTTATGTTTATATGTTTAATTTTCAATCGACAGCGTATACGCTATCTATGCTCGCCGATTGTTGCCCAAGTTGTACCAGACGTACAGGAACGGAATGGTACGTTGTTCAGAGGGACTCCTTTCGTGCACCATGCAGTATAATAGGTACATACAGTAGAAGTAGTTAGTTAGCATTTGACGCGTGTCAACTATAGGTCTCGAAAGACCTAACTGAGCACAGTCTGCCATTTTCGCATTGTATGGCATGGTAGTGTCATTTTTTCGTGCAAATTCTCTAAAATCCTAGAAAAATGCGTTATTGTGCTGTTTTGGAGTACAAAAATGATTGCCGCAACAAAAATATTACCCATTATTATATTAGTGGTATTTTATGTCATCTGAAAGTCTTATTTTAATAAATTTTCAATTTTCTAACGAAATATGTTTTTTTGTTACAAGAAACGAAAGTAAAGCTTATACCCCTGCAATATGATCGCTTCTTTTTTGGAAAACTAAATTAATAACTCCAATTCGTCATCGTTCAGCAATTAACCACTAGATGGCAGCACATTGAAATTTCAATATAATAAAACTGCCTCCGTGGCCGAACGGTTACCACGCCGGATTGCCACGCAGAGGCCCCAGGTTCGATTCCCGGGCCGAGAGAAATATTTGTATGACCTACATTTATTTCTCTCGTGAGTTTGGGTGTAATTTGTGGTTGTCTATGTGTGTGTCCATGGCACCCGCGACACAGGGTTTCCCTAGTGCGGGGCTATGTTGAGTGTGTGCGTTATTATTATTATTATTATATCAAAACGTCGTAACTTGCAATAATACGTACTGATGGCATTGAACTTTCAACGTTATGCCAACAGGTTAAAGTTTAAATCCCAGAATTTGTTATTTCTTTTTAAATTTTGAACTACGATCAATCAATATCAAGATTTTAGTGTTTCTAATTAAGAATATGTGAGTTTTGGCGACATCGGTTCTGTAATCGAGGCGTATGGCAATTCCATTGGTTTTTTTTCTTTCGTTGTGTACCCCAATATATCAAGCGTACGAACTTGACATGATGGTAGATTGTTTGTTTCTACATTAACATGTCCATTTACTTCACCGTTGTCTGTATAAATTTAGGATCTCATAACTGAACAGTGCGGCCTGTAATCTAGTTATCACGATTTATTGAATTTCGACGCTCTCGGTGCGGTTATCGTCAGGAAATTGATTAATCCCTATTTCGCGCTGCGGTGGGCCGTTGATGGATAGTGATTGTAAAAAAGCTGTTGTATCACGTACTTTAAAAAGTAGGACATTTTGTGTTGCAAAAACTGGTACTAAAAAAGCAGGTAAATTGGAGTCGCGAACATTCTTGAATGAAATGAATGGGTTACCTGTCAATAGTTCGAAATTACATTTTCCAGAGATAACGTTTGCTTGAATATTCATAACCTCGAAAGTAATTTTCAGAGGAAAATGTTTTTTCTTTTAAACCTAACTTGACCTAACCTAACCGAACCTAATCGTGTATTTGCGATAAACATCCAACATATCCTAAAAGAACAACGGTAATTCGGTTTTCGGTGTAATGAAAATTCGAACAAACGTTACTTCGGAAAATAAAATTCGAGTTTGTGATAGTTTATCAAATGAATGAATGAAGTATTATTGCCCATTAAAAATCTTACAATGACAACACGGAACATTACTGTAAGCGTCACAGAATAAGCTAATGCATAACAGGCGGTCTTATTGTTAAATAGCAATTTCTTCTAGGCAACATTAAGGTGTGCGTTCGAATTCAGGCTTTTTCTGGAGTTTTTCGAAATTTGTGTGCGAAATCGAGTTCTTAGGTTTTCGCGATTGTTACACATAGGAAATGAAACTATTTTTCCGGATTTAAATCGCGTATATTTGTTTTTTCTTTTTGGGTTTGTTTGAAAAAACAAATATACGCGATTTAAATCCGGGAAAATAGTTTCATTTCCTTTGTGTGCGAAATTTAATTTGAAATTATCCATGAGCTTTTCGGGGAAGGAAAAACCCTCTCCTTAGAAGATACCCGTGCCCAGTAGTGGGATATAAATGTGGGTTGATGATGATAATGAATCTTAAGATAGATTAAGAGTTGGAAAGGGGAGTGCAACCAAAGAAAATGTTTTATTGGAATATCGAATGCCATTAATCTGGCAAGCATATAATGGTTTCTAAGCTAACAATTTTAAAATAATCTATAATACTTTACATTTTTCCTCCAGACAATGCGGTGGTTTCGACAACGGACCTGCACAGGGTATACGCCGGATGGGAGCTAAGAGTTCGCCAGACTTGTCTCCGGGTACTTCGGTGCCCAGACAGACCTGGAGAGCCAGCACCACAAGGTATTTGTTCATACTCCCTCCGCAATAACACGTTTTTGTGTCTATCTGCGGTGGTAATATTATTATGTTCATTGTATACAAATTTCTATCAATCACATCGCACTCTTGATCTAGAAAAGTCACATCTGTAAATTGACAATTTTTCAAAATTCTACGAACAAAATTAGTCGATAACTTTTTTATGCTTAAATAAGAAAGTTATACAATTTCACATATATACATATAATATATACATAACTTGTTTCATATAGTTCACTTTCATGCGATAAGAGCCCTTGTAACATGTGGCTTTGTTATACCAAGGTTACAACATACAGAGCCTTCTATTTCGATACCTCCAATGAACACGTTACGTTAACTTTATTTTTTGGTAATTTTCTGTTATTTTTGTAAACAGCCATATTTATTTACTAATATTTTGGCCCCCAATCTTTTGAAAAAAAAAGGAAAAAGAAAATTCGCAAAAAGAACAAAACATCCCATTTTGCGAAAAGGAAAGATACAAAAAACGAAATAAAAACAGAACAAGTCCAAAAATTAAGTTGGAGCACTGCCGTCAGCTTATTAAAATGCGGCTAACTGAATTTTGTTTGTTCTATTTTTGAACCTTTTTATTTGTTACGCGATAATCCGGTGAACCGATTTTCATACTTTTTTTTTTTCAATTCAAGGCGTTTTTCTCTCTCAATACACTTTTGAGTAGTGAGAACCGATTTTTAATATCTCCTGTGTCAAGTCCTGTATAGTGGCGAACTAGGGGGTATTTCAATAAAACTTGGCAAATAGATGTAATTCCACGTACTTTTGAAGTCGGTTTTTTTAGTACTCTGTACTGAGATTATTGCTATTTAAAATGGTTATTTGACGGCAGTTATTAGTGGACGCATAGCATAGCAATCAGTGGACGGCAGAGTAGTGTTCATTGAAGGTATCGATTTATCAAAGCGTTATAGTCGTATCATTTGGCGTACAAATCAGACATCTATCGAACTATCCGTAGTAGTAGAGCTCCTTGTGAAAGATTTTGTCTAGGGAAGTACTGCTACCTTGCCTATTTCTGGCGACAAGTAGTAATAGAACATTGCTGCGTTCCAGTTTTGAAGGGTAAGTGTGCTGGTAAAATTACAGGCACATGGGACTTTCCAACTTGTATCTCAGGGTGACGGGCGCAGTGGCAGTGCTCTTAAGATCTTTGCAATTTGAAGCTCTGAGTGGCACTGCAACTGTTATGGATAGGCGTGTCGCTTACCATCAGACACATGACTGTTTCGTCCCATTACTTGGTAGTATAAATATATATATATTTATCAAAGCGTTAAAGTCAGTATTGTTTTGCGTATAAATCGGACAATTTACGTAGCATTATGTAAATAACTTTTTTAAGTCATACTCTCAGAGCGGTAAACAAAATTGACTCGTGTTTGTAACACTGAAATACTAAAACTTTTGAATCTCCCAATCTCCTTAGGCATCTTGCAATTTGTGATCTATGGAATTACCTAGAAGAAATTGCTGGTACCTACTATACCATACTACCGTCCTTATCATAAATAACGTAATCGACATTTTTAGTCAAATTGATTTATTGACATATCTGGGATCAGCGAAATGAGGTCTATAATTTCCTATAAGCGGTTTTTAAATATCTTATTTAGATTCAGTTTTGTTAAGCAAATTCAGCGTTACTGATATTTTTCAAAGAAAAAAGTTTAGGTACCAATAATTAAAAAGTTATTTTTTTTATAATATCAAGTGACAGGACGAACAAGTCGTGTGCCTGATGATAAGCTACACGCCTGTCCATAACAGTTGCAAAGCCTCTCAGAGCTTTAAATCGCAAAGATCTGAGGGGCAATGCCACTGCGTCCGTCACCCTGAGATATAAGTTGACAAGTCCCACGTGCCTGCAATTTCACCAGCACACTTACCCTTCAGAACCGAAACGCAGTAATGCGGACATTTCTGCTTCGCGGCAGAAATAGGTAAGGTTGCAGTACTACCCTGGACGAACTCCTTCACAAGGAGCTCTACTGTCACTAAAATATACTTCCTTACCAGACCGCAACGCAACAAAATTGGCTCAAGCGTTTCTCATCCCCAACTGAGCTACATGAACGGCTGCGGAAACGCAGGGTCTGCAGTCTCCAAAAGAGGCAGGGACGTGGCTACACAGACTCCACCAAGCATAGCCGCCGAGACCAGAAGAGCCAGACTTCGACCTTTGAAGCTCATTGCTGCTCCTAATGCTTTGACGCTCAGGTACGATAAATCGCACACTTGATGTAATAAGGTCACAATTTCAAAATTAAATTTTTTTAGGAGAGAGATTAAAAAACGAAATTAGTTGATAACTTTTTATGCTTAAATACGAGTTATAAAACTTCACATAAACATAATAACTTTCATGTGATAAAACTACGTTTGAAGTATGACTTGTGACATGTGACTTTATTATACCAAGGATACTAAATAATACATTCGAAAAATTTGCAACACAAATCTTTATCATGACTTCGATCGATTGCATCTGTACACATTATTGAAGGCGTAAAAATGTCTTGTTACATTTTTAAATTAGTTTTGTGCGGTAAAACTATTCACGCCCTTAAATTCCTACAATTATAAAAACGAAATTTTATTAAAGTTCATGAAATGTTATTACTCTTTAAAGCACGCAAACAAATAATACAATAAACCTCTTGAAATGCGATAAAGTACCCATTGGAAAAACTAAAAATGTTTCAATAGGAAGGTTTCGGAAAGAATAAGAAATAATTGGATATCACTGAACCTTGTGAAGGTTAAATCGAGTTGGCGATCGTATAGAAAACAAATGTAATTGTTGGTAGACTACTTTTTTATCAACGATGGCGTTTCGGTGACAGCAAATTTCGTTTAAATGATTTCATGTTGATGACGTCGCTCATGAAACCAAATTCTGTCTTAACTCGAAAATTGTGTTATTGAGAAAACGCGATTTGAAAGTTTAGAAAATTACTGCATATAACCAATTAATATACACACATAAAAAGTATTATCTAGTTTTATGTATCTTCTAGCTTATAAATGGTTAACTAAATATTATGTGTCTATAAAAATAATCACATTATTCGCAATAAGGTCCATTCGTTTTCTTTTTTTGAAATAGTATTTTCTCATTTCCACAATTTTGAGTTATGACAGAACTTGTTTTCATGTGCTATGTTTCGAAAGTACACAGAAAAAAAGGATTTCTACTAATAAGAAAGAGCAATTTCTCAAAATATTTGCTAATTCTGAAAAAATATTTATTAAAAGTAATAAAATATTGTCATTACAAAAATACTGCTTATCTTTTTCTAATACAATTTTACTCTTAAGTTTATTCTAACTTTTAGACAAATACGTTCACTTCAAGATTTTATTTCGTTTCTAATCAATTAATTGGACATTACTTACATGAAGAAATTTTTACCTCTTACGTCACATTTCAATAATCTTAAATGAATTCAAAAATTTCTTTGGTGTTGTTTAGGAAAATATATTCTTAAACAAAAAAAGAAGTAGTTTGCTATTCAGATTAATATTCTAAATTGTAGAGTAAATTTTTAAAGCAACATTTCGTTGCGTTTTCATAGTCAATGTTGCCGTGACATGTCGCTGAAGGCGCACGCGGTAACGATTACTTTTACTTGTGCTTGTAATCATAAAAATCATAAACAGTAATTTATCCAAAGAAACAATAAGTAGTATCTCCAGTTTGTTAGTGTGTTATTTGCAGTCATAATTTAAGAAATTTGGTTTCAGCATGAAATCAAACTACACTTGTAACAAGCAGAACTTTAACATGCAATTAGTTCCATCACGCCACTGTTAGACGGCATTAGTTGTACTCTGAAACGCGCTATCGTTTTGTTAACTTCAATAGTATAAGTCATCTCATATATTTTGAATTGTTAGTAGATATTTTCTGCCGCTGTAGCATTTATTATTAACTATATATTAACGGCACTGCATGGTACTCAACTATTTGAGAAGATTCCGTCCTATTTCTGTGCTACCTTCAGGTTTAGCACTGAACTGTGTGCTTTCACGCCAGTGAGACATACTGTTGGGTCCATAACCCTGTAAATTTACCCTTTTTGATATTAGAAAACATAAATCTTCAGTCAAATAATTAAGTACCTCTCAATTTTCATTTTTTTTTCAAGTCAAAATCGGACATTTCTAATAACTAATAAATATTTTGTTGAATCTAGAGTGGCTTTGTGACTTGAAGTAAATTAATTTGCTCTTGGATTAAATATCAGTCTTATAACTAAAATACACTTTTGAGACGTTCTTTTACTATTATCAAGTAATTATTCTCTAGCGTCTATAGGGAGAGGATCGTTTTGTTGGATTTAATAAATTTGTCTTCATAAAAAGAATTTTGACTTTTTCTAAGTGTTTTTAACGTGTAACCAAGGTACAATGTAGTAGTACCTAATTTTTTGGTATTATGGCACCTTTTCGGCAAGAATGTATCTATCGACTACATTAATACAAGTATGTAAATGTGAAACACAGCTCACGTCAATATTTTATTCTGAAATATCTTATAATATAATTAACCGACTTCGGAAAAGGGAGAGGTTCTCATTCGACTGTTTTTTGTGTATGTTACGCCATTGATCCGACATTTGCGAACAAATATTCATTTATTATTCTTTTGTTGGATAAAATACTTCCTATTTTAGTAGCAGTCCCATTCAAATTTGATGTAAATTCCACATCTAGGGGATGAATTCAGTTTATTGAATTTCATCCACTTTTCGTTAACCGATTTCAACAAAACTTTGCACACAGATGTGCTTTCAATAAAAATAACATGTTATGGTGATCTAGAGCTCATCTGATGGTGGAAATGGAGATGTGAGGAACTGCTCAATAGTGTACAGCAGCTACCTTGTATTTGGGCTTCCATATGCGTTTCAGTTATCGTTAAGGAGACCGCAGCAAAGAACACAGCGAAAGCGTATAATCAAACTATTGAGGTTTTTTGAGGTTGCTTACGAAAAAGTTATAATTGTATAATAATAATATTTATTTTCGCTCACAAAAGATCAGCTAATTACACCTATGTCCTAAGCTTGTATTATGTCTTTTTTCTTATAATACCTTAATATAGTGGTGGGACGAACAAGCCGTGCGCCTGGTGGTAAGCGATACGTCTATCCATAACAGCTTCATTCAGAGCTTTAAATCGCAAAGATCTTATGGGCAACTGTGCCTGTCACCCTGATACATAAGTTAACAAGTCCCACGTGCCTGTAATTTCGCCAGCAGCGTACCCTTAAAACCAGAACGCAGTTAGTATTACTGCTTGGCGGTGGAAATTGTATGGTGGCGGTACTTTCCTGAAATAACTAAGTATATTGAACATCGCCATGCCAATCTCCGCAAAAAAACCTGTTTAAAACCCAATCCAAAGGTCCGCATTCAGGCAGAGAAATTTTAGAGATCTGCTGGCTGCGTCCGTAGTCCACTTGACAGCCACGTTGAGACAACAGATGCGAGTCCAACCGGATCGCAGTACTTTTTTTGTGTTTCTTTGTATCGATAATAATAACAAAACTAGTGGAGTATTCACTAAAACAGATGAATATCATGGTAGTAAAAATACCATGACATTCAACAAAAAAATAGAAAAAATGTCATCTGCCTAAACGCAGAAGTCGCACATTCCTTTCCCGGGCCGGGAAAAATATTTTGTATGGCCTAGATTTATTTCTCTTATGAGTTTGGGTGTAATTTGTGGTTGTCTATGTGTGTGTCCATGGCACCAGCGACACGGAGTCTCCCTAGTGCGAAGCTATGTTATTAAATCTATTAATAATTTAAGGAAGTAAAAAGACGACATCTCACTCATACCAAATGCTAGTTTCAATATAAATACATTCAATATAATCTACTGGAAATGCCGCTAAAGAGTCGCCATAGCGAAAGAATACTTGTTTAAAGAAGTATTTCTTCTGGACGGGGAAGTAACCAACTCCCAATAAGTCTCTGGAAGGAGTGATACCACACGGCATCACTCATTTCGCTCTCGGAGCACCTTTCTCTTGGGCATGATCTACCTTGGCAAACATGGAAGTCTCTAAATCGGTTGCAGACCCAAGTTAACCGAAGCAAGAAGAGCATGCGCAGGTGGGGTGGTGCTTGGAGAGCGCATGTATGTGTGGTGCCTTTTCTCAGACAATGGCACATCTTTTGCCCTGTCCTGCATGTCCCTACATATGCACACGCGAGGACCTATACTACGCCACTGATAATGCTGACTTAGTCGCTAAGTACAGGTCCTCACAAAATACTAAAGTCCACATTTGTATAGCAAGTGGCTAGAGAGTGGAATTCCCTGCTTGCGGACTTATTTCCTGAACGCTATAACTTAGACCTTTTCAAGGCGAGAGTAAATAGGCATTATTTAGGTGTGCATGCTACATCGTCGACCTCATTGTCACTTTTCATTAGGTGAGATGAAGGTAAAATGCGCACTTATGTTATTTTAAAAAAAAATACAACATTTATAGAGTTCTCAGGTTTTCGCGATATTTACACATAGGAAATTAAACTATTTTTCCGAATTTAAGTCACGTATATTTTTTCAAACAAACCACAACGTTTCGGGTCCTTTACAGGACCCATAATCGCGGTTAACTGAGGTGGTAAAGTCATCAAAAGAATGATGTCTAAATATTAATGCAAACCACCTTATTTTTCACTATAGTTACAGAAGTTATTAATTAAATACTTTATTTTTAAAATTTACACAGAACATTCCAATTTACGCTACATAATGTTTTATTGAATTATTTTATTTCAACAATATGAACTTTTTATTAAATTAAATTTATTAATTGTTTTTTATTTAACAAAACGTTGGTTTGTTTGAAAAAAAAATCATATATACGCGATTTTCATCCGGAAAAATAGTTTGATTACAACATTTACGTATTTCTTAAAAGTAAACCCTTAACTCTCGTACATTGCGCGACAGTGGCCTTCCGCAATGTCGGTTTAATTAATCCAGGGTTTTTCCTTAGCGACACAGGACCGAATAGCAATTAACATCGATCGTGGCTCTCCGGGAACAGGATTAGTTTGTCTGAGTCTACTTGTAGAGCTCTTAGGCGATTGAGAAGTTATCTTATTAGGTAAGCTTCTAATAGGTCATTTGCGGTGTGAGTTCCACCAATCACAAAGCAGTAAATTATAACTAAAACGAGACGCGGATGGAC